CCCCCTAGTGTTACAGAAATACCATGTACTACTTATGAAGAACTTGGACTAAGACTGTTGGCAATAAATTTGGGACTTGTGGGGCCCACATCCCCAGGGGTCTGCCCACCAGGGAAAGCACCAAAGCCTATACCCCTGGAGACCCACTGACACAGGGCAGTCCCAGGGAAGGCAAGCAGCGGGGCTGGGAGGACATAACCTTCACTGGGTAGGATAAACTCCTTCAGTCACTTCCTTGTAGCCTATCAGTAGAGCAGTGACCTTGGAATAGCCCTTGTAATGGAACACAGAGATTAACCTAGACAAGATTAAAATCAACAGAACTAGATAGAGACAGGATTTTTGGCTAATGTCAGATAAGAAACAAGGAATTGTAGAATGTGACCCAAAACATAGGATGATGTAATTATAGAGGCATGCTTATGGGATCAAATAGTATAAATATAGATGTATTAGAACAATAAAGAGAGAACCCAACCATGCTGATCAACTGAACACTGTCTCCGTGTCATGCCTTCTTCGCCGACTACGTCCACACCTTTGGGAACCCCTGGACCTGATGGGGCTGGACCCCAACAAACTAGGTAACCAGAAACATTGAAGAAAAAATAATAATGAATAACTATTGAATTACTTAAGAAATTAAGAAGAGAAAACTGAAACTAGTCTTTTTACTATTTAGTCACACAGATTTGCTTATTAGATTCCTTTGAATATCTGGTGCTGCTTTAGTTCTTAACTTCTCACCATATTTAAACCATTTTATTTACATGTTTAGCTTAAAAATGTTTAGGAAAGTTAAAGAGAGCTGAGAAATATACCATAGTTTTTACCAGCATGAATTTCAGAGAAAATTCTTAGGGACTAGAAATTTGAATTGATTTTTGTTTGTTTTTTCTATTTACTTGTTCATGGCAGCTTATTTTAGAGAACATCGAGAAATAATATTCATTTTCAATTGAGAAGATTTTTAGGAAAAAGAGTGATGTAGAATTTATATAATAAATTTAATTTCTTGTATTTATTGCATCAGCAATTGATTCAAACTGATTTTGAAAAATTATTTCTTTCAAAGTTGACCTTTTCCTGATTTTTATGTGATATATTTATTAAACTTTTTCAGTTAAGCATTTAAGAAAATCCCTTTCTTCTGGCCCTTTTCTTCAGGTTGATTAGCCTGTCATTGGTGTTGTGATGAAAGACTTTGCAAGTTTCTAAATGATCACAATCAGTAATCAGAAATACAAGTCAAACCAGATATTTAAATGGTTAGTCTCATTACAGGAAAAAGCAATGACACCAAAATTCCTTAGTAGACAGCCTAATAACTTTGCTTTGGGAAGGAGATAACATTTCATTTATCATAATTCCACACTTTCTTTAAAAGAAAGACTATAATTCTAATGAGACCTCAGACTTCATGACCTCAGATTCTATATAAAGAATCTCTCAATTACATCCCATGGTACATATTTTTCCAATAGTTACCATCAATTATAAATAAGGTCTTCCCTTCAAATAATGACTTTGCTATCTATTGGTTGACAACCAACTAACATCTATTACATGTATAGTAGTGCAGATATTTTTAAATAGGAAGGGACAGAGGAGGTGAAATACTTTTCTTACACCATAAGAATCATCAAGAGATACAGGAAAGTAGATCTTTATTTTTTTATATGTTTTTATTTATTTTAAAGGGAGGGAGGGGGAGAGAGATAGGAACATCAGTGGTGAAGAGAGATTCATAGATTGACTGCTTCCTGCACACCCCGCACTGGGGATCCAGCCCACAACCTGGGTATGTGCCCTGACCGGGAATTGAACCGTGATCTCTTGGTTCATGGGTCGACACTCAACCACTGGGAAACACAAGCCAGGCTTTAAAAATTTTAATTCCTTATAAATCATATGTTTGGACTATTTTTAGATATAGTTTTAACTTACATTTTTTTATTTTTCCAAGTGTTAAATTATTGGAAGTCCAGGGGAGAGAGAGTACATTTCATTACTTGTTTTTTTTTAAACACTTGGGGTTCAAACACCTATAAAGTTACTCATGTATTTCTTTAAAATAACTCCAACATATTATTGAAGGATGACTTTTAAAAAATGGATTTAAATATGAAAGTCTACTTTTATTGAGCTTGAGAAGTAAAACACTTTTTTTTTTTAAGTCAATG